TAGAATTTATCATGGTGCTGATAAACCCAAAAAGAAATAGCAGTCATGATCTCAGACAAGGGATCATTAAAAATCTGTTGTTAAGAAAAACAAACAGGAAAACTATATTGTGCACAACACCTAAAAAAATTAACTGAACGACATTAGTATTTACATTGAATAGCTTGGGGTCTAAGTATATAAATAAAAACTTAATGCATTACAAGGAAAACGAAATAGTAAGAAAATAATTATTTGTCAATATGTGTAATTTAGACATATAAATCTAATAGAAACACAAAAATTAAAGTAATGAACACAATGTTAGAAAAGCTAGGTGTGATAGACTTTAGAAGTTATTAAATGAGAATCTTAATGACTATACTTATTTTTATTATTATTATTTGACATCTTTATAATAACTTAATTATGGGCTAAGAACTCATAAATAAATGCATAAAAGTTGAAGGAGTAAATACATCCTTTACATAGCATAACATAATAAGGAAAACTTGAACAAAGGATGCATACTTAAAAAGAGAATTAGTAATAGTATACTAAGTAATGAATAGGTCAAAGAATATATAATTGAGTGAATAAAATTGTATTCAGGAAAATAGATAATTCAATAACATTTAAATTTGAGAACTATATGAATTAATCTAATGAAAAGATCATACAACTAAAAATCCCCTGGAAAATTAACAAATTAATAATCTTTAAATAATAATAAAAGTATGCATTTTGAAAATCAAAGAAGAAATAAAATAGAATATAAAAGACTATTGTTCTGTTAAATAAAATTACGAAGTTCATATTATAAACACACACATGTCCAGAGTTAGCATAATTTTTATCAGATTGAAGCTAGAAGGTTTCTGAATATAATCAGAGTTAAATCAAGAATGCAATTTTCTCTAATTTGATATAAATTTAGAAATGCAAGTATTAAGTCAAGGAAAATAAATTGAAGGAGTAAGAATTGGCAAAGATGAAGTAAATATATCTCAATTTGAAGATAATCTCATATTTAGATAATTCTGGAGAATCAACAAAGAATAAACAAGACAATTAATAGCTGTAATAAAGTAGCAATATAAACAATAAATCCACAAAAATCATCAGACTTTTTGTCTACTATTAACAAAACCCGAGAAAAAATTATAGAAACAGAAAACATTTTCTTTAAACAGAAATAAAGAGGGCTTAAATAATTGGAGACAGATCCAATCTTCTTAGCTGGGCCAAGTAGTTTGAATATGCATTGCATATTTTCATTGGGATATAACCAATTATATATTTTACAGAATTATAACTTCAAATACAATGTTTTTGGATACATATGTGATCATGTCAGGGGTTTTATTATTCTCACTCTTATTACCTATCTACAAAAATTATCATAGTATTAAAATTGCTCGAAATTTTAATAATACAACAAATTTACAGAACTATACAAATTATAACAAAATTCATTTAGATGATCAAAATGTCCAGAACCTCAGGGGATGTAATGAAAAGTAGAGAGGCAAGAGACTTGGCTCTACCAGACCTCACATTATGTTATAAGTAAATAATTCATTTATTTGATACTAGTAAAAAAAATTAGAAACATATATGACTAAACTAGACCAAAAAAGGGAGATTGAGAAATAAATGTACATAGAAGTCTAATGTTTAATAAATTTAAGCACACAAAATACTGGGGAATGGACTCCTATACTTATAAGATTTGCTGCATAGGCTGAGAAGCCTGACTGAAAAATAGGTCCAAAAGCTCTCCTCTTGTTCTAGTGTCTACTATACTATTACCTCTATTATTATTGCTGATACACTACATGAAGGTGGTAAATCACTGTAGTATTAGAGATATATCACAGAAATGATTTTCACCACTAAAAAAGGATTTAGGGTTGGGAAAGACCACATTTGCTACAACAGAATGAATAATTAAATGAGAATCTTGTCTTCATATATGAAGTTTATCCACTTATTTTTATTAAGTACTGCTTATTCATTGTTTGTCTTTTATTCTTGAAGAGGTCCATGACATCAGGAAGGTGATGTCATGATTTGCAAGGGAATTGGATTTAAGTGAGGGAGGGTTGTGCAAAGTCACCAGCCTCACTCTCTTCTCCAGAGCCATGTGAACCCAGTGGCAAGATATAGATCAGGATGACAAGAGATGGCCCTGTTTGCAATGGAATACCTTGGCCTTTTTAATGTAAGGTCTTTCCCAGGTCTCAGTTTGACTGAGGGAACAGCCATTCAGTGATTAAGGCTAGGTAAGAAATGAGGCAAAGAATGGCCTCCTTTACTTAGTCAAAAAACAAAATCAAAAAAAAAAACCCAGGATCTATCTTAGAGGAAAGTCCTCATTAAGAGCTCCCTAACTTAATAAATCATAGGTCCAATTGAATGCTTGTACATTTAATACATCAAGGAGAAATCCTGAGTCTTCTATTTAATTTCATTATTTTGTTATGCTTTACATAGCACTCAACACATAAGATTGTTATACATTTCCAATAAATAATTATGTTCATATGCAGAAAAAAAGTGTTGTAGATGGTGTGACTGGGAAAGTTGCTTACAAGAATGTTTTAACACTATGGCTTTTGTTCATTTCATTATCTAAGCCAAATATTATCTTTAAGTACATGTATACATATTAATGTATATGAGAAAATATTTGAAAAAGCCAAATGAATATTTATTTCCTAAACAAAATAAAAATGAATAGAAATGACAGTACTAACAACATATAATAGCCAACTATGAGAGTCATCAGAAGAAAATGAGTTTAGTCAGGAAAAGCTTTCTTGAAGAGGTAAATTTTGATTTGAGTTTTGAACAAAAGAAGACCAAAAAGGAAGAATGAAGTGGGAGAAGTAACATGTGCTAAGTTAGCAAAGAAAGAAGGAACAAGCAAAGAATCCATGTCAAGACAAAATAAGTTGTTTGGTAAGATTAGATTCTTAAACAAAATAGTAAAATCTTACTTAAGAAAGATATTTCTAGTAGCTATGTGTTCAGTTGGCTAAAAGGGTCAAAGAGACCAGCCAGGAGTCTAGTACAGTAATACAGGTATGAAGTACTTAGGATACAGATTAGGGTAGTATTTAATCAACTTCCTCTAAATATATCTAATAATATGTGTGACCTAAAAGATCAACAGTAATTACATACTATTTGTCTCCTGATGAGTAAGAGTTATATACTTTCTAGTTTTGTAGTAATACCAATAAAAAGCTAATATCTCACAAGCATAAATTTATGCTATCATTGGCCAACATCACCAGCAAAAACAAACCAGACATTCATTCACTATGCGTCTTTCATACATTTGAAATGTTACATGTGTATATATTATATAAGAAGGATCAATTATTGGTATATAAATTTTTTACTTAATAGTTATGTCTCTCAATTTTGATATGTATCACTAAATAATTACATTTCATTCTAATGAAAATAATTATTTAGTATTGAGCATGATCATGAATCAAATAAGGAACTGTAAATGATTAAATTTTAACTTTAAAACATTTTAAAGGGTCAAAATAAAGTTTAAATTTGTGTGGTAATTTTATGATATAATGATTAATAAGTAAATGCCAAATTAATATTCTTTCCTTTCCAATGTAGTATACAACTAAACAAATTTTATAAAAATACCTCTCTCACTAAGCTTCCCCTACTTTACATTTTAAAAAATAATATTTGCAATAATGCATACATCTTCTTGCTTCTAAGAGTAGCTGACATGTTAAGAGAAATTAGATTTCATGCCTGAAAAGGATAACTGTGATGAAGTTTGTGCTTCTATTGTTATATATACTCAAAATATATTGGAATTGCTTAACAACCTTATGTATTGAATGCTATGTAAGGCGTAAAAAAGTAATGAAATTAAATACATGATTGAGGACTTCCCCTAGATGTGTTAAAATGTGTATGTATTCAGCTGGACCTGTGATTTCCTAAGTTAGGGAGCTCTTAGTATGGACTTCCCTTTAGCATGGCAGATTGTCATCTTGTCCGAAATTTATTAATGTGTCAAAGTCAAGACTAGAACCTAGTTCTTCCTGATTCTGAGGCAATGTCTCCATTAGGTCAAGCTGCTGTGTACATATAATATATCCATGTGCCTATACATATATACACATATACTCACACACATATGTTTATGAACATGTGCAATATTATGCACATATCCCCAAGTATACATATATACATATCTATGTATACGTAGTTTTACATGATTAAAATTTGTATGATACATCCCCATCTAAAGTATATTTATGTATGTCTAGCTAAATGTTTTCATACCTTCAGGGGGAGCCATTGAGGCTGATTTTATCCATTTTGTAGTGCTTTATATATCACTCAATACATAATAAGTGGTCATTATACATTTACAATAGGTTATTGTTTCACATATTATAAATGCCATGGAAAATGGCTAGAAAGGTTGATAAAAAATTCATTCAGTTTGTTTCAAGAAGATAGTGAAGAAAGAAGCCACAAGTTGTGTTCAGAAGAGAACAATACTTGTTTAACAAGAACCATGTCAAGGAAAAATCAATTGTTTAGTGAGATTGGGTTTCTAAGTAGCATAGCTTATTGAGCACTTACTATATGCTGAGGAGATCAGAGATAAAATGAGACATGTTTACTGCTTTCTAGGACCTTATATTCTAATAGAAGGAAGCAAGGCATCTATATAAAAATTAATAATCCTTTGTTTAATGCAAAAGTACATGAAACACAAAGACCTTTGAAGGTTCATAGGAAAAACTATTTCTGTTACTTTGAAATATAAAGAAATAGAAGATCTTACAATGCAAATTAAAACTTGTTCATAATGTATCTTCCAAATATCTTACCTACCTAAAATTTAATTGCTGTATTTTAAAAATGCAAACATTTCTCCCAATATATATGTGATGTTTCCAAATTAATTTTCCTTTTTAATAAAGCAAGATAACTCTAGTTTATTTTTTTCTTCTTTCAATTAGGTCTTCCTCCCTTTGAGAAATGGATAGTAAATTTTGATAATGATCTTTTCGATGGCCTCGTTTTAGCAGCACAGGTGGCAGCTTACTGTCCATTTTTGGTAAGACTTATTTTCATTCAAAACTTGTAAATTGCATTTTAAAACACTGGTGTATTTCAGTAATTATGATTTTGATTTGAAGGGATAGTTCTTGATATTCAGGTTAGAAACAAATACAATTGAATTTAATAAATTGTAAGACTCCTACTGAATATTTATACAGCATGCCTTATTTTGTTTTCTCCCACACTACTGAGTATAGTGTTTCACAGACCATAAAAAATAGCTAACTTTGGGATGAAAGAATGTGATTTAGATTGTACTTAAAAAAAAAAGCCAATGGAGAGATTGAGCCAAAATGTTAGAATGAGAAGATCAAAAGCAACTAAGTTCATTACAAACTTTATGAAAAACAACAAATAGAAATGCCACAGGGAACAAAAATGGCTAATTAGATCACACCAAAAATTAAAACTAGCTCAGATAAAGAATGAGTAAAGCAAAATGCTGATGTAATTAAGCAAAACAAGATGAACACCCTACAGAGCAACTGAATCATCTCAAATATCAGAAACAGCAGAGATGAAAAAGCAGCAAAATCAAAAATAGGAAACAGATGTTGGTTCAGGGCATAGCAGAGATTCTCAACTAGATAAATGATACATTCAAAGAAATTAAACAGGAATTTGAAATCACAAAAACAAATAAAGGAGAAACTTGAAAAAAGTAAAAACAATCATATAAGTCAAATGAGATTTTAAAAGGGAATGAATGAAATAATTAAGAAAATAACTAATGTTGAAAAATGCAACAGAAGCCTCAAAAATTCATAAAAGCACCCAATTATCAGGCTTATTACAATGGAAAACAGAATTTTACACAAGTACAACTGGGCTGAAAAAAGGTGCACTAAATCATTCAAACTCTTGGAAAACATACACACTCAGGTGATAGATTTGGATAATAAATCTTGACAATCTCAGTATAACATACATCTTAGACAATTTAGAAAAATGAAATAATATGAACAATATGTTTTAAGAAATCATCAAATAAACTTATTAGAAATCTGATGAAAATAACTAGGTAGTGAAATATAAATAGAAAACACATTATCAACACATTTTCTTTTTGTTGTTGTTTGTCATATGTTTCTTTGATGACTTCTTTCACCTTGTTTTCCTTCTTAATTTCTAGTTTGTAATACAACATAATCCCATTCATTATGTACTTCACTATATCATAAGTAGTACGAGTATTATTATTTTTATTTTGCAAATAGATTCAAAGCAAAAAGGTGGTCTATAATTTACCATTTAACATTGCCAAAATATGAAAAGACACATTTGCACCAGAGATATTGAACAAAGTTCAATTCAAAGGTAAATTCAACAGTCAATGTATTTTAATGAGATAATATAGGACACGATATACTAAAATGTTTTGTGAGAATTACAGAATATTAGTCTTAAATATATTAATTCAATCAAAATTTATGAAGGAAAAGGTCTTACAAAATAAATAATTTCTTCTTTTTAATAATTGTTAATAATTCAATATCTCTACATCTATACAGGATACTTTAAATAAAGCAATTGCAAGGCTAAACAGTATCTTTAAAAGTTAGATTATGGGTAACTAGATGGTGCAGTGGGTAGAGTACTGACCCTGGATTCAGAAAGACCTGAGTTCAAATCCAGCCTTAGACACTTGATACTCACTAGCTGTATGACCCTGGGCAAGTCACTGAACCCCATTGCCTAGCCAAAACCCCCCCCCCAAAAATAACAAAAAGTTAGATCTAATGGATATATGGACAGAACTAAATAGGAGAGGTCATTGCATGATTCATTTTTTCCCAACATTCATGGACTTCGCACATAAAATTATTCCCACGTAGGAGTGCAAAGAAGATATAGGACTATGAAACTAAAAAAGGATGTTAAGTAATGACTTGCCATGATCCAAAAATAATCTATAAAATGTTATTGAAATGAATTACTAAATAAGAGTCATCCATAGCAGTTATCCAGTGAACAGGATTGAGGAACATAGTTCTTGGAGTTCAGAATCATGGGAATCATTTTGCAGTAACCAGAAAAGAATACACTGTCTTCGTATTTCTGCAATAGCCAATTGAATGTTTTCCCTGACAAAGGGCAGACTAGACCACCTCCAAAATACAGGTATAAAATATGAGTAATAAGAAAGTAAATTAGAGATTCTAACACAGAGAGAAGTATGTGACCTCATAAATACCACTGAGCCTTGGAATCAATCTAGTAACTGACTCTGGATATAGCTCTGGAATAGTATACATTATTTAAAAGGAATTGGATAGCTAAAGAAGGTGAAAAAATTCTAGGAACCATAAGAAAGTATCATGACACAAAGAATTTGGATGAACATCAGTGAAGGCAGAAAATATGTGAGGTGCTTGGGAAACAGATCACAGGTCTGAAGCAAAGACAAGATATGATGGTGATGGAATATTTTAATAATCTGTACACCTGTTGAAACTCCTTAAAAATTCCATGTCAGAGATAGCATATTTATCAAATTTGCAGATGGAACAAAGCTGAAAGCAATAGTTGACATGTTGGCTGCCAATTAGAATCCAAAAAATTTGACAAATTAGAACAATAGTCTTACTCTATTGAAATGAAAGTGAATAAGGATGCAGGTGAGTTCTTAAACATTCACTCATAAATCAGCCTCAGAAGTACAAAATAAGAGACATAGAAATATAGTAGTATGTTTAAACAAGATTAGAGTTTAGTAGACTACAAACTCAATATGAATTAATAGTATAGCCTGGCAATCACAAACACTAATGTAATCTTAGACTGTGTTCAGGGAGATTCTACGAAGATATAACAACCAGGGTTAAGTAGGTCATTCCTATAACCTCATTGTTATGAAGATCAAATGAAACAATATTTGTAAAGCACTTAGCATAGTGCCTGGCACATAGTAGGTACTATATAAATGTTAGCTATTAATTACTACCACTACAACTGTGACTACTAAATACAACTATACTACTACTACTACTACTGCTGCTGCTGCTGCTGCTGCTGCTGCTGCTGCTGCTGCTGCTGCTACTGCTACTACTACTATTACAGTATCTGAAATATTATTGGTCACCACAGTTTAGGATAAGGTAGAGATGGTGACTCAAAATTTTTATCCTTAGATGAATTTGCAGAATTGCAATATTAGATTTATTTATAAGCACCATCATTTAAGAAAGACATTAATAAGCTAGAAACTGTTCAAAGCAGGTCATAGAGGATAGTGAAGGGCCTTGAGTCTGTGTCATTTAAATAGCAATTAATGGAACTAGAATTGACAAAGAAAAGACTCAAAGGGAACATGACAGCTGTTGTAAAGTATTTTAAGGGCTGTCATGTAGAAGAGGGATTAGATTTATTCTCTTTGGCCATAGAGGGGAAAACCAGGAGTAATTGGTAGAGGTTGAAAAAAATCAATTTAGACTTGATATCAGAAAAAAAAGAAAAACAAGCAAACAAAACTTCTTGCATAGAGGTATCCAGAAGTAGAACGGGCCTCCTTGAGAGGAAGTAGGTTTTCCTTTCTTGGAAGTCCTTCAAGCAGAGGTTGCACATCCACTTGTCAGATCTCCATTATGGTGGTTATTCCAATCATGTATGGGTTAGATAGCTGCTGAAAACCTGCCCAACTCAAATTCTGTTATTGTACAGAAGAGGTCAACTGGGATGCTGAAGGGTTGAAAATATTGGTGATGTTTAGCTTGGGGGAGAGATGACTCAAGGAGACTGAGGCCTGCTATCTAGTTGAAGGTATGTCATGTGGAAGAGTAGTCTTATTCTGCTTGGCTTTCAAGGACAGAGGTACAGTAGGTAAAAGTTGTTTTCAAAACTATCTGAAAATGAAGTGGGCCACCTTATAGGCATTAAGTAGGTGACTCTTCATTGGAGGTCTTCAAGCAAAATCTGCAGATGACCCCTTGTTGGGTATATTGTAGAGAAAATTATTATCCAGGTATAGATATGATTAGATCACCTCTTAGCCTTGACACAATCTGATTCTGTGTGCAAATGGAAACCACAAAAGTAATAGCCTATATTAGATAGAAGCCAGGATGGCAGAGTATTAGGAAGCAATGATTTCAAACAGATCTAGAAAATTCCTGATTGGGAAATCCAGAAAAGAAATCACAGCAAGCCCTAGGTCTGGTCCAGTTGGTATAGGGAGACAGACAGGAAGGTCTTTGGACACTGGGGATGGGGTCAGGCCAAGAGCATTACAAAGCCAAGGGAGAGGCTGTGCACCAGGGCAAAGAGAGGTCTCAGACTCATACTGGAGCACTGTGACGGGGACAGATGCCAACTGGGAGCTTTGCTGTTCCTACCTAGTTCTAGGTAACAAATTCAGACGGGACTGAGAAGGGGATCTATGTGGGGGACTAGGTAGGGAGACCCTGGGTGGTGTACTGAGAAAGGAAGTTCAAAATCCAACAGCAATAGCAGCAACTACTATTGCTCAGACCCTAAGCACAGAGTATATTCTCATTTCTAGCATCCAGTCTGGCCTGCAGAAGAATAACTAGGGCAGGAATCTCAGATGAAAGTGGGGCCTAAGATTTCAGAAAAACCCGGAAAGACTTACATGAACTGATATTGAGTGAAGCGAGCAGAACCAGAAAAACATTTTACACAGTAACAGCAACATTGTGCAGTGATCAACTTTGATAAGCTCGGTTCTTTTCAACAGTGCAACAATCTGAGACAATTTCAAAAGACTCATGATGAAAAATACTATCCACATCCAGAGAAAGAAATGTGAAGTCTGAATGCAGATTGAAGCATACCATTTTCACCTTTTTAATTTTGTTTTAATTTTTCTTACTCTTAGTTTTTCCCTTTTGTTCTGATTCTTCTTTTATAATATGTGGAAATAGGTTTAATATAATTATATTTATGTATATATATGTATATATGTGTATATATATATATATAGAATATTATGGTGATATAAAATGATACATATGAAACATATAAGGAAATATGGAAAGACTTTAAATGAAATGATACAAAATGAAATAATCAAATTTATATATTTTTTTCAGATTGACTATAGCTAAGATAGAAAAGAAGAAGAAACAAACAAAAAATACCAGCTAAAAGTAGTAGATGCTCAGATTTAGGAAAGGACCCAATTGTTAATTCCTTGGATTATATTTTGTTAATTTTTAAGTGTTTTGTGTGACACTTTACTCTTACATTTTGAATGTTTATTTTTCCATTGGTTTTGTGAAGGCATTTTTGTTAAGTTTATAACAACAAATTTCAAAGAGCATATGGTTATGCTATGTATATTCTTTTCTCATTCTGACATTTTAATACAGTATACATTACTTTCATCATATGTGTTTTTCCAGATGATATTTTACTATATCAGCAAGAACAATGGTAGAGCAACACTTTGCTTCCCGCACCAACTACAGTGTTACATATTTGTCTTTTGCAGATACCAACCCATTTTGTAGACATGTATACCTCTCCACACAGTCCTGAACAGCGCTTTCACAATTGTTTGATTGTTGTGAATGCTCTACGTGAAGTTGATTTAAATATAGATATACAGGTAAATGGTTATATATTATGCATGCCATAGACCATTTATGAGTTCTTCTGTTGCTTTGCTCCTTTGCAATATTGTTTAAGTCATAATTTTTCAAACATGAATTGAAAAAGATTTTCAGCTGGATATTGTTACAATGTGGAAACTGAAATATGACTCCATATAAGGCTATGGCAATATTTTAATATGTAATATTATGTATACCAAACTGTGCATAATAAGACTCTAATTCTGTTGAGAAACTCAGGGATCATAAACTACCTGAATAAAACTTTAGTGTTTTATTAATCTTACTAGAGTGCTAAGAATGAATTAAAGGAGCAGAGTTATATGTATATGGAGGTTTTATTATATTTTTACAATTATGTATATACATATTTATAATTTATAATAAGTTTATAATATAAAAATACTCATCTCAGCTTTCTCATTTTGTGGCTCAAATAAATAGATGTTTTGGAGATTGCAATAGTGATGCCATATTTCAATTTACTTGGATCCCTAATTTAGAATTCCATTTGGCCTTCCAATATTGTCTTGAATATCACTGAACAAAATATTATAAGTGTGTAATGCCTTTGTAAGCGCTATGTTAGACAATTTGAGAGATAAAGTATAAAACATTGACCTTGCCCTTGAAGAGGTCAGAATCTTAAGGGTAGGTGCATTAAAAGTTAACTTATAATGTGAAGGAGTGGTTGATGAAATGTTGAGTAAATGAGACACACTGTGTTATGTGAGTTAAGAGGATAGGGTTATCACTGTGGTATAGAGTGGTCAGAAGAAGCCTGACTGAAATAGGTGGGAATTGATAGAGTTTGAAAAAAGCTTAATTATAAAGCCATACTAGTTGGGAAGGGGATAGTAAAAGACTAGAGGTGGAAATGAATACAGTAAACTTAAGGAACAGTGAGTTGTCAGTCAGGTTGGAGGCATAATGTTTGTATGATGGGAGAACAGGTTGGAAAAATGTTAGGGCCAGATTTTTGGGTCTTGAATGCCAGGATAAGGTACAGGCTTTATTCCTAATGGAGACACTGAAAATTTTTTGAGGAGGGAAATGCTACAATAAAAGTGGTTCTTAACAACTGTTGTTAAGGAATGTAAAATGTTCTAGAGAGGAAGCGACTAAAGATAAAAAGGCCATTTTAGGAGGCTGTTGAAATCAAGGGTGAAGTAATGAGGGCTTGAACAAAGGTGAACATGGCAGATCATAGAGGTCTTAAAATAGACTACACTATTATGAAGTCATAAAAATCCCCTTTCTGTGATCAATGGCAGGTAGTTATCCAGATACTACTTTAATACTTTTAATGACAGGGAACCCACTACCTTACACAGCCAATCTAGATAGGCCTACTGATTAAAAAATTCTTTGAAAAATTAATGAAGAAGGTAATGCTTGGGAGGGAACTAGTAGGTGGACTGGCCTGGTGAGTAGGGACCCTACCAGTGACAGCTGATTCAATTGATTTGGAGTTCATTATAAAATGTGGAAAGGGAAAGCAAGATGTGAAAAAGAAAATTCTATAGATGGCCCAATTAGGGTATAGGCAGACATAATATGGGAGACAGGACATAGAAGGTATTATCTGCCCATTGGCTAGGGAATGGCAAAATAAACTGTAGTTCATGAATGTAATGAAATGGTACTGAACTATAAGAAACAAATATGAAGAATCAGAGAAGCATGATAAGACTTACATGAATTGATGCAAAGCAAGTCAAGCAGAACAATGAAAATAACATATGTAATGGATATAATGATGTAAATGCAAACAATGATAACAAACCTGAGTACTGTGTAGTTATAATGACTAAGGGGGCAGCTAGGTGGCACAGTAGATAGAGCACCAGGCCTGGAGTCAGAAAGGTCTGAATTCAAATCTGGCCTAAGACACTTACTAGTTGTATCCCCCTGACCAAGTCACTGAACCCTGTTACCCTTGGTGTCTTTATCTGTAAAATGAGCTGGAGAAGAACATGGCAAACTGATCCAATATCTCTACCAAGAAAACCCCAAATAAGGTCACTAAGAGTCAGACATGACTGAAATGGCTGAATAATAAAAGAATGGCCTTGAAGAAGAACTATGAGACTACACCTATTTACTTCTTTGCAGAGGAGAGGGACTGTGGATGTGGAACATTGCAAATACTATCATATTCAGTTAGTATTTTGGTTAGTTTTCCTTAACAACTTTTTGTCTCTTTTTATTTTTTTTTTGTTATAATATCTGGCTCTCTGGGAGAGAGATATTGGGAAAAAAGGATGATGTAAAAAATTCTATTTTTTAAAGGTATTATATCAGATGGATGGCATTTTGATATAATCGATTAAAATGTGATTTAGAGTCAGAAGATCTGGGGCCCAGCCCTGCAGCTTACTGCCCTTGTGACTTTGATCAAGCCAATTAATCTCTCTGGGTTTTAATTTTCTTATTAGTTAGATAACAAGGTTGGACTAAACAATTTTGTATGTTCTTTTCAGGTCTACTGTGGCTCTTGAATTATAGCTAATCAGATACAAGCAGAGGTATACATGGTTGTTCTTACTAATTTTACTATCTATTCATCAGTTGTATGGCTTGCATGATATTTATGATCATGATGTGGTTTCAGAATTTAAAAGAAAATTACAAATTGTATTTGGGGGTCTGTGGGAGAAAAATGACTAAGGGGTATTAAGGCTTTATTATCTGTATGCTACATGTCCCAGGGAATCTTCATGTGGCAGTGAATAGTAGGAGCTACTTGGAAACAGAAGCTAGTTTTATTACCACAGACAAAGCAGAGTAAGACTGGGACTAGAACCTCTAAACAAAACTTAAACCCTCTGATGCCAGCTCTCCATAAGGACAGTTTCTATGCCTAAGACAGCAAGGAAGCTAAGAGGATTGACTCCCTGCCCCCTTAAAGGACTAGCCCTATAGGAAACAAGTTTGTTTTTTTGTTTTTTTTTTACAATCCACCCCCAACAAAACCCCAAGAATTCTCCAGAAAAACTCCTTCATTGGTAAATATATCTATATCTATATAGATACAAAATTTCTCTCTCTCTCTCTCTCTCTCTCTCTCTCTCTCTCTCTCTCTCTCTCTCTC